GAATGAAGTCACATGCATTGCTCAGGTATGAGTTTCTCACAGACTTCAACAGAGTGTCAAAGTCTTGATGGTTCTGTAGGTCTCTTACTATCAAAGCTGAGCTTTATTTTGTGTTCTCTATTGGATTCACATCAGGTGATTGGCTGGGCCATTCTACAGCTTGATTTTCTTTCTCTGAAAGCATCTTGAGAGTCTCCTTGGCTGTGTTTTGGATCATTGTCTTGCTGAAATGTCCACCCTGGTTTCATATTCATCCTCCTGCTAATGTAGATGTTGGACTGAAGCAGCTGATATTTATTTACACCGAGGAAGGGCAGAGGGTTGCTGAAGAACTACTGAGAGATTTCAGCTGCTGTCTGGGCTTTCACTGCCTTTCTTTACCTCCCTTTCTTCATGTGTTCAATCCTTTTGGGTCATTACATTTTATTATGTTTAATTTGTGAACTAAATTTGATTTGTTTTCTTTGCACATATGCATTTCTTTGGTTGCTAACAACATCTGGTGAAAATATCAAATCAACAGCACCTTTAGAAATATGACTTCTGGGAAAAATGCTGACGTTTTCAATACTTATTTCTCCCGCTGTATGTAATACTATAACATACAAAACAGAAAAGCAGCTTGTGGAAACACCTTGGGCCCTATCATACACCCGGCGCAGTGTGGCGCAAGGCGTGGCGCAGTAGTCTTTTGGTAGTTTCAGCTTGGCGCAAGAGTCGTTTTGAGGCGTTGCGCTAGGCTGTTTAAATGGCAAATGCATTAGCGCTCATTTGTGCGCCCATAGGCGTTCTGGTCTAAAAAGAAAGGCGTTCTGAGGCGGACCGCTGGCGCGTTGTATTTGAGAAACTATAATAGATTTTTCATTAGACCAAAACTAACCCGGTCTAAACTCCGGCGCAGAGTTGCACCTCGCTTACACACTGCTTAATACACACAAGAGAGCAATAGGCAAATATCTTTACATATGAAAAAGTTTAAATATTAAGGATATATATAGTATATAATAAGAATAGATATAGGATATAAATATAAAGGATTAAATTATTACAAAACATATTATTTTCTAGCCTACATAAATATGAAAAATCACTGATTTTATGTCTTCTTCATCTCGGGAGGCTTTTTCAGTTCATTCATAACAATTTGCTTTTGTATAATGTTATTATTATTAGCAGTATTATTTATTATATCCATATTTATATTTCTTTTATTAAAAACAAGCTCAGATTTGCCCACCTGTCAGGTTTTAGACCATATGGGGCACGGCAGGTGTATTTGGAAATAACTCAGTATTTTGACCACACTTGGTCATTAATGTTCATTTATTCATTTGCTAGAAATTAGAACTGAATTTAGACTTACTTTGCGTCCTGTAAATAGTGAATGCGCTTATGGCGCGACGCAGCTGACTCTTAAAGGGAATGGGAGATGAGACTCTAATTGGTTTATTCTCAAAACACACCTATAACTCATTAAAAAAATAAACTCAACCCTTTTAGTCCATGCGCCTTAGCACAAAGCGCATTTTCCCGTCCGTAAATTAGCAAAAATGCGTTCTGACACGCCCTGAAAGCGTTTGCGCCCTGCGTTTTGCGCTCTGCGCATGGACTAAAATATCTTTTATAGAGCCTCTTAATTGTATTAAGTCTTATTCAAATCAAGGCAAGTACTTAGATCACTGATGTGCATGTAAACATAGTCAGTGGGCTCAGTAAATCTGTACAACATTTTCTCCATATTTCATGTCATTCATGCTAAATTGATCTCTGTTTCAGGGTGGAGAGGAAAGAGTGGACGCGGCTGAAGTCTAAAGAAAGGGTAAGCTCTCATCTCCAAAACACACAAGAGCTCCTTACAGTTCAGCTGCTTTTCTTGAAGTTCCTCCAGAAACATTTGGCTCTGCTCCTGTGAGGTTTGTTTGGCTTCTCTGTAATCAGTTGTGATGGTTCAGAGCAGCGCTGGTGTGTGTGTGTGTGTGTGTGTGTGTGTGTGCTTGCTGCCCGCGGGACTCTATCAAGGAGCTGTTTAATGAAAGCTGGGAAACTCCTGGGCATTGAGAGCTTGTACTGCCTTTAGGGCTCCTGCTGTACATACAGATCACAACACACACACGCATGCATTCAGCACATACTCCTATACTCTCCGCAGGGTCTTCAAATCCTTCATATCAAAGACGGGTAGCTTATTAGGGGTGCTGCAACATCATAAACAGTCAAGTAAAGGCTGTGCAGTAAATGTGATGTTGATGTGGACAACAACAATGCTTATTTCACGAGTTCACACTCACAGATATTTGACTGAATAGAATATGGTGTGCTGTCTAGTGAGGGGGCTCTGAGCTTGGGAAGACATCCTAACTCGTGTTATTCTCCTTATCAGGATAAAGAGAGAGGTTTGCTCTTGAGCGGATTAGATAATAGAATGATTGTGTGTGATGAATTAGCCTCGTCAAAGACTTTTGTGCTCATCCCGAAATTTGTTTATAAAAAATCACTTGTGGCCATGCCATAGTTTAGGCTATTTAAATATAGAGCATTTGCAGATATTTGCAAATATCCACATGCATATCTAAAAAAATGTGCATTTTTTTCTTCAAAAATGTCACTTAATGGTTACCTAAATTACAGACAAACGACCTAAATTACCGAAAAATGTTTGAAAAATTAGTGAAAACCTTAATAGTAATACAAAGGACCTATAAATATACAGTTGAAGTCAGAATTATTAGCCCACCTTTGAAATTTATTTTCTTTTTTAAATATTTCACAAATTATATTTACCAGAGCAAGGAAATTTTCACAGTGTGTCTGATAATATTTTTTCTTCTGGAGAAAGTCTAATTTGTTTTATTTTGGCTAGAATAAAAGCAGTTTTAAAATTTTTTGAAGCCATTTTAAGGTCAAAATTATTAGCCCCTTTAAGCTATATTTTCCTTCTATAGTCTACAGAACAAACCATCGTTATACAATAACTTGCCTAATTACCCTAACCTGTCTAGTAAACTTAATTAACCTAGTTAAGCCTTCAAATGTCACTTTAAGCTGTATAGAAGTGTCTTAAAATATCTAGTCAAATAATATTTACTGTCATCATGGCAAAGATAAAATCAGTTATTAAAAATGAGTTATTATAATAATTATGTTTATTAGGGGGCTAATAATTCTGACTTCAACTGTATATATACACTTTAAAGTATATAAAACAGTGTGTGTGTGTGTGTGTGTGTGTGTGTGTGTGTGGATGTATTAACATATTATTACATTGATGAAATAAACTTTAAACAAATTACACTTAATTCATTTCGTATAAACTATTTTGTCATGTTAAACAGTACGCTTGATTTTGACCTGCTAACTTACTAAAGCACCTGTAAATTTGATGCCGATTTAAATTGTGGAGTAATTCTATTTTACATTTAATGTGTATATATTTTTTAAGTATTTCATTTAATACAATTCATTACAAATGTATAATTACAAATGTAAATGCAGTTAAATACATGACAAGTTTTACTATAATCTACTATACTGTACTACAGGCCCATAGCCAGGCGTGATTCTTTTTTCCTAAAAAGTGGACCCTTTTGCAGTTATTTGCCTCATTTTCTGTTTAATTATGAGGTTTAAACACTGCATTTTATTTGATTATATATTTTTGTTTACTTTTTCAAAAGTTAACAATACAGAACATCAAAACTAAGCAGCAAACAAGCTAAAGTAAAACATACACACTATATAAAATAAATAAGTAAAATAAAAATAATAAAAATAAATAAATAAAATAATAAAATAAATAATAAAAATAAACAAACAAATAAATAAATAAATAAATAAATAAATAAATAAATAAATAAATAAATAAATAAATAAATAAATAAATAAATAAAGGGAGGAGATACAGTAGAAACCAGTGCAAAAAAAACTATTTTGTCAAATCAAATCATGTGGTACTGTTTTAATATAATTCAGAAATGGATTCCAAATCTTTTTAAATAACTCGCCCTTTCCTCTCAAAAAATATGTGATCTTCTCCAATGGTATACAGTTGCAAACTTCTGAGATCCACAGTTCAATTGGTACATCCATGTCTGTTTTCCATTTTAAAGCATTTTTTAGCTATTGTCAGCAACATTTTAGTAAGTTTAATAGCATAATCATGCTGGAGGTTTAAATGCTGCATTTTAGTGACATTTTAAGCACTACTGTTTTTCTGGATTAGCTTGTCAGATGGTCGTCATAACCACACTTTTTGACGTACCAAAAAATAGGAATCTGTTAAAGGTTTAAATGGCGAGGCAGTGGCGCAGTAGGTAGTGCTGTCGCCTCACAGCAAGAAGGTCGCTGGGTCGCTGGTTCGAACCTCGGCTCAGTTGGCGTTTCTGTGTGGAGTTTGCATGTTCTCCCTGCATTAGGATGGGTTTCCTCCGGGTGCTCCGGTTTCCCCCACAGTCCAAAGACATGCAGTACAGGTGAATTGGGTAGGCTTAATTGTCCGTAGTGTATGAGTGTGTGTGCGAATGTGTGTGTGGATGTTTCCCAGAGATGGGTTGCAGCTGGAAGGGCATCCACTGCGTAAAAAGTTGGCGGTTCATTCCGCTGTGGCGACCCCGGATTAATAAAGGGACTAAGCCGACAAGAAAATGAATGAATGAATGAAAGGTTTAAATTAAAAACTGTTGCCTACTGTCATTTATCAGACAAATAACACTAGGCGGTACATTCAACCTTCCTCAGTCAGAATTTAGCCTTTTTGATAAAAAAATAATACTAATAATAATATAGAGCGTCCCGATATATCTAGCCTCTCTTTTAAATGAGTGCATTTAAAAGTTTATGGATAAAAACAATAGCCTAATTAGTATTAAAATTAATATGGACCGCTTTCGGTGTTTCAAAACTTTTTATTGTTTTTTTTTTTTGTTAAGAATAAGGTCCAAGATTTAGAATAAAAGTTGCATGTAAAATGTTTTCTCTGTTTAACAACAATACAGTAGGTCAGTAGTGGTGATGACAAAGATAACTTCACTTGGATGGAAGTGAAGTCACTGGTTATTTTTTTCCAGCATTCTTCAAAATATCTTCCTTTGTGTTCAACAAAAGAAAGAAACTTAAACAGGTTTTTACAAACTGAAGATGAGTAAATTTACATTTTTTTGTGTGAACTATCCCTTTAAGTATATTAAAGGAATGCCAAATTGTTCTTGTAAATGAAGGTTGAAAGCAGTCGATTGCTATTAAACATGCATTGATTGTACCCTATATTCTTTCTATCTTTTATCAGGACCGAAGTCGAGACAGTATAGGTTCACAGGGTGAGTTATAACACAGCATACACAATCTTGAATGCTGATCCAGAGCCCCATGTATATTGAAAGTGTGGGTGTGTGTGTGTGTTTGCTTTCCTCTCAGGAAGGGAAGAGCCAGTACGGAGTTACGAGACGGTCGCACAAGTGGAAGGTGGGAGAATTCACCAAATGCTTTGTCTTTTATATACTGGCTCTGATCCAGTAAATAATGCCTTGCTTTATACACTCACCGGCCACTTTATTAGGTACACTTGTCCAACTGCTTGTTAATGCAAATATCTAATCAGCCAATCACATGGCAGCAACTCAATGCATTTGGGCATGTAGACATGGTCAAGATGATCTGCTCCAGTTCAAACAGAGCATCAGATTGGGGAAGAAAGGAGTATTTCAGAAACTGCTGATCTACTGGAATAACGCACCATGTCATAAAGCGTGAATCATCATCTCAGACTGGTTTCTTGAACATGACAAGGAGTTCACTGTACTTAAATGGCCTCCACAGTCACCAGATCTCACCCCAATAGAGCACTTTTGGGATGTGGTGAAACGGGAGATTTGCATCATGGAAGTGCAGTCGACAAATCTGCAGCAACTGTGTGATGCTATCATGTCAATATGGAGCAAAATATCTGAGGAATATTTCTAGTACCTTGTTGAATCTCTGCCACGAAGGATGAAGGCAGTTCTGAAGGCAAAAGTGGGTCCAAGCTTACTGGTAAGGTGTACCTAATAAAGTGGCCGGTGAGTGTATATATTCTATGCAGTTGGTGTCCTAAATTAAACCAAAATCTCATGCTGTATATAGCTTTGTAGCACAAACACTGCTCATATGAAGCACACTAATGCTGAGAGATGGTTATGATAGATTGGAAAAACCATTGTACATGCACCATACTGCAACATAGGCTCATTCTGAAAATGCAGCCAAATATACATTTCTTGAGATCGCAAATTATGTAGCCAGAACTATGTATGGCTGCAATTTGTCTTTAAAATGATTGCTATGGGGTGGTATTCCTTTTCGTGCTTACCAGCTGACCACTTACCTTTGTATGGACGGTTTTACCACTGTTAGCAGTTGGTCCAGTAACTCGCCATGTACGTCGGTTGACCAAGGTTATTATAGTTAACGAAAACGAACGAAAAAACGAAAACTAAAATGTTAAATTATTTTTTGTTAACTAAAAGAAAAATAAAAACAAGAGTTTTTAAAAAAACTAGAACTAACTGAAACTGTATTGTGTACATATAAAACTAACTGAAACTAACTAAAATTATCGCAAAAACCTCTGTTTTCGTATTTGTAACTGTATTTAATACATAAACTTCTTTATTTAATACATAAAATCTTACTGTAAGCCTTTTAAAAGTAAATATAATCCGCGCTGCAGATGTTTGTGTTTGACCCTTTCGCACCTCAGAGTCTCCTGCTGCCACTGGCCAGATCGAGACGTTCTTCTCGAGTCATCCTCGCTGTTGCTCCCGCGACAAAAACAACGAGTGGACATGACAGCAGCACGGTGACAGCATTAAATACAGAGACTTAAAACTATTACTTTAACACATTTGTGCCCAATAATGGGTTTTATTTCTGTATCGTGATCGTGAACGAATCTTTGCTGTTGTATTTGAATTTGAGGATGGGTAGATGGTTGTGGTAGATGATAGTGTTCATGTGTTCTCTGAATACATGTTTTAAAAAATGTATGACTGAGTTTTTATTAAACATTTACTCTGTTGATTTTGAATCTTGCACCTAACAAATATCCTTATTTAGAAAAAAAAACTGAAACTAATACTGAAACTAATAAAAACTAAACTAAAGCTAAGACATTTTTTAAATATAGAAACTAATAAAAACTAGTAAATCTGCCTCTAAAAACCAATTAAAACTAACTGAATTTGAAAACAAAAAGTTAAAACGAAATAGAAACTAAAGCTATTGAAAAATCCAAAACTATTATAATCTTGCGGTTGACTTGAGGCGAAGAACGGTTTCAGAAAGGGGGTAAGAAAAAAGCAGAAGCCAAAAAATAAAATAAGTAAATAACAAGGCGAGGATGTGATTAAAATCAGGCAAGGGCTTTTCTTTTTCTAGATTGCTTTTGAAAACACTATGGGTTGGTTTAGGGAAGGAGGACAGTCGGTCAGTCGACTGGTCAGTCAGCCAGTCGACAGCAGCCTCTGGTGGATTTACGTGAGAACAGCAGGCAAGAATGGCATTCGCGATAGATATATAAGATCTGGAAATAAGATCAAAAAAGCCTCTGGTGGATTCGCAAAAACTGCAAAAACTGTAGCTCCTGGGACGTATTTGGTGCTCTCCAGAAATGTATACAGGGGTACATTATCAGAATGAGCCTGGGTTGAATTTCGTTTTATTATTTGCTCTTGTTTTTCGTTGTCTGCTAGTGCATGTACTGATAGAGTCTCTCTCTCTTGTTTAGTGCACTACGCCAGGCCGATCATTATTCTGGGCCCGGTGAAGGACAGAGTGAATGATGACCTGCTGTCTGAGTTCCCAGACAAGTTTGGCTCTTGTGTCCCTCGTAAGTATTGCTCAACTCTTTTGTCACGCTCTGCTTCATGATGCTTACTAAAGTGTCAAGACAATAGCGAGCACCAATCCTGATTTAAGTTTCTAAAAGTCAGGACGATAAAGTTTGTATTCCTTGGTTTCTGTTCATTTGCAAAACTCTTATTAGTGAAACTCCACTATATTTAGAGTCACTTCTTAACATTCAGGAAACATGCCAAAATCTGCGCTCTAGTAATTTCATTAACCTTTGCATACCCAAAGTTCGCGCTTCATTTGGTCGCTACTCTTTTCAGTTTTCTGCTGCTGATGCTTGGAATCATCTGCAGCAGACCTTAAAGCTCAGCACTTTCATTCCGCTATCAATTTTTAAAAATTCAATCCAGTCAATAGTTCAAGATCACTGTGCTTGTTTTTATTTATTTTATTTTTTTTGTTGGTTTTTGTGTAATTAGGTTCATTTGTGAAATTGTTATTGTATTGTCTCCCTACTGCTTTGTACTGCATCTGCTTTTCATGTTGCCTCTTGGCCAGGTCGTCATTGTAAATGAGAACTGGTTCTCAGTTGACTTACCTGGTTAAATAAAGGTTATTTTATAAATGTTATTTTATAAACTTATAAATGAAGTTCTGCACAAGACTTTTGGCCAGCGGAGAAATTAAAATGGTCGTGCCCAACTGAGTCTGGTTCTCTCAAGGTTTTTTTTCTTCACTCCCATCAGGTGAAGTTTTTTTTCCCTCTCCGCTGTCGCCACTGCCTCGCATGGTTCAGGATTGGTAGAGCTACGCATCGATGAATTTGCTCTTCAGTGTTTGAACTCTCAGAAATGATTAAATCACACTGAACTGAGCTAAACTGAACTGAACTGAACTTAAACACTAAAACCTGAACCACACTGTTCCAGTTACTATGACCATTTATGTGAAGCTGCTTTGACACAATCTACATTGTAAAAGCGCTATACAAATAAAGCTGAATTGAATTGAATTGAATTGAAGTTATTATTATTATTATAATTTTGAGGAAATAAATGAATTTAATCCATTTTGGAGTAAGACTGTAACATAAAAAATGTGGAAAAAGTGAAGCGCTATCAACACTTTCCGGATGGACTGTATATGCTGAGCACTGTACTGATCAAACCTTTATGTACAAATTTCTCATTTTGACTGTGATGAAATAACGTGCACCTTTTGTAAAGCTGCTTCAGTACAATAATTATTGTGAAAAGCACTACACGTTTGAATAGAATCACGAGATGATATCTTTACTGTTCTTCAGATACGACACGACCCAAGCGGGAGTATGAGGTGGATGGACGGGACTACCATTTCGTGTCTTCGAGGGAACAGATGGAGAAGGACATCCAGAACCATCGCTTCATTGAGGCGGGCCAGTACAACAGCCACCTGTACGGCACCAGCGTTCAGAGCGTCCGAGAGGTGGCAGAACAGGTTAGGGATCAATACTGTCAGTATGTGTATCAAATTGATCAAACCTTAATAATGTTTAGTTAAAGTCAAAATGATTAGCACTCCTGTGAAATTTGTATTCTTTTTCAAATATTTATCAGAGAGAGGTGATTTTTATCAAAGAGAAGGGCACCTATTATGCAAAAATCCCTTTTATAAGCGGTTTAAACACAGTTGTGTGGTAACAGTGTGTGAATATAGTCAGCTTCAAATGGTAAAAATGTGTTAGTTTTATTCATTATAATCGCACTTGATAGAAACAGCCTGCAGAGACACTTTAATAGACATTCTCCCGATGTATGTGTCATCAGAGGGGGAAAGCCCCGCCCAGTAATGACCATCTCTCCCTCATTAGCATAAGAGTTTAGTCTTGTTTTTGAATTAGCCACTATGCTGACAAATTTGTAGCTCCGCCTTCTTTTGAATCTCATTTGCATTTAAAGCGACAGTCACCAAAACAGCACAATTACAATCAAAGTCAAAACGGGGCAGTTTCAAAGAGTTATAAAACATTATTAGTGTGGTATTTTGAGCTGAAACTGAACATACACAAACTGAACTAAAATAGGACTATTATAGGAAATCTTGCCCATTAAATATCACTCGGGCAATATTTTTTTTTAAGTCACACATGCTTATAATCAGGCCCGTGCAGAGACCGTCCAAAGGGCATGTGCAGGATAAATTTTTCGAAGACCGGGGGTGGGGGGGTTGTTGTTGCACGCGTACTGAAGAGCGGTGTTGTCGCGCGCGTTCTGATCAGCTGAGTTGTCGCACGCGTACTCAAGAGCGGTGTTGTCGCGCGCCTACTGAAGGGCGGGACCGAGGGTGTGTCGCGTCGCAGGGGCACTGTTGATCATTTTGGAAGGGCACTTTCTATCCAAGACTAAAAAGGGCATGTGCACTGCACAGGTTGAGCCCTGTGTGTACACGTGCCTGCTTATAATTTTGCCTTCAGCTGTCTGTTTCTGTGTGTTTGTGAGCAGCAGGGAAAGCACTGTATTCTGGATGTGTCTGCAAATGCAGTTCGAAGGCTACAAGCGGCACAGCTTCATCCAATCGCCATCTTCGTACGACCCAAATCATTGGAGAACGTCTTGTATGTAGCAGCAAACACTTATACTCGATTCATTTGACAAAACATCACTTACTAGAGTAATTTTATACTGATGGAATCTGTACTGTTTAATGCAGAGAAATCAACACACGCCTAACTGAGGAACAAGCCAGAAAAGGAATGGATCGCGCTATAAAACTGGAACAAGATTTCCTGGAGTGCTTCTCTGGTAAGACTTTTTTTTTTACACATTTTTCATAATTTGTCATAATTTAACTTAACAGATATCGGATTAGAACATGTGGAGTATGCATATTTTTGGGGCATTATTGAAGTGCAGTTCAGACATGTAAACAGGGCCGGATTAACATAAGGGCTCGGTGGGGCTGAAGCCCCAGGATCCACGGAAGAAGGGGACCTTGGATGGGCTAAAGAATTAATTTGCGCTATGACGCAGGAAACGCCTCTTTGTGTTATGCTTTCTGTCGTCAATAATGTGAAGTATTCCTTTCGGTTTGCTGCTGTTCATAAACAGCACGCGGGTGCTAAACTGGGGCTCGGAGTGGCTGTAGCCCAATCAGAATATGGAATAGCCCTGTCATAAAGGTGATCAGATGTGCCAATTTTACCAGGACAGTTCCTTATTTCGGCACTACCGCGAGAGCCATCCAGTCAAAGGTAGGCTAACCAAGCTCGTCGTAGAACAAAAAATAAAATTCAAACAGTCTTTATACTTGATACACCTGTACATGTAGTAACAGCAGCTGGGATAGGCAGAGTCATGTTGAATGGACTCATAACTGAATCGCAGTCTCGGCCGCACGGCTGTTACAGCTGGACTCAAAAACCAACGCATGGCCTCACAATACATCACACAATATAACTGACACAGTGCACAAACAAATCAAATAGCCTACACAAGCAGTTATCAAAATGTCCATCTTTGTGGAGTATGTATCTGAAGTAAATACACTCTGTTAGGTTTTACAGTAAGTCTAACTGAACTAGTTAGAAGGCTAATTTTTTTTTTTTATGAATGTTTACTTTGCCCCATTTATAAAAACAACAGAAATAATATGGAGCAAAAAAATATTGGCACTGGTTTTCATCAGACAATATATCTGCGATTAATTAATTAATTAATTAATATATTAAAATTAAAAGAATTAAAATTAAAAGAAAGCTACATGTACAGGTGTATTAATTAATTAGTTAATTTAATTAATAATAAATAAAATTAAATAAATAACTAATTAATTAATTAAATAAAATAAATAATAAAATAAAATAAAATAAATAATGAATAAATAAATAAATAAATAAATGAATGAATAAATAAATAAATAAATAAATAAATAAATAAATAAATAAATAAATATTATTTTTATATACATTTTTATTTATTTTATTTATTTCTTTTATTTTATTTTTTTGTGAGGTAAAAAATAAAAGGGGGGCCTTGGATTTACTATAGGGCCCAATGTGTTCTTAACATTGCATGTAAACACCGTCATCAAACATTTATCGTTATGTTGGATTTTCGTCACATTTTATGACAGGATATTCGTACACACATGGCTGTTTGACACTATTCTCTGCATCTACCAAGTCAGTGAAGGACAACAGACACCTGCATCGCGAAATGCTGCGTTTTTTTCCTTCCCATTCAACGTGTGATATCAAACTCCATCAAAACAACACTCTTCCAGCAGTTCTTCCTTCATACTCGCATCCAATAGCTCAGTTTGTCACAGGGCCATGCCTGTAATGTTCCTGAATGAAAGTGAAAGTGTCAAACTGCAGATAAAGTCGACACATTAAAAAGGAAACACCTGAAATTACACGACATCATTCTACGCTGCTTTCTGTACTCATTGTTGTGTATTTATTTGCGATTGCCTTTAATTAACATGTTCTGTGTATGCACAAGATCTCAGTGCTTTCATAGACTTTCGCTTTTGTGTGTTTACAAACACACGACTGTCTGTGTTTTCAAAACAGCATACACTTTTGAAAAAACCTTTGCGTCTTCATTCGTACAAACTGCTGTTATCATGTAAACCAACGCTTAAAAGGTTTCCTGTTTTGGGTTGAAAACGTGATCGTGTTAACAGCAAATCATTCTCTGTCTCCATCACAGCGATCGTGGAGGGCGACAGCTTCGAAGAGGTTTATCACAAGGTGAAAACTGTGATCGAGGAGCAGTCAGGGCCTTATATCTGGATTCCCACCAGGGAGCGTCTGTGAGAGTCCAGCCAGAGCCAAAGCACCTCGTTCAGTCACCATTCGGCCTGCTGCTGCCCTGGACTGCGGAGCTCCGGTTGATGGAGCTCACATAACTGACAGAAAGAGAGAGAGAGAGAGAGATGGAAAAAGAGCGAAAGAAAGGAAGAAAACAGACCCAGATCTGGGAATGATGGAGCGGTACAGGCCCACGCCGCATCTGCCTCACTTCTCCTCCTCCTTCCTGGCTCCCTTACTTCCTTTTTCCTGCTTCTGACTTCCTTTCTCTCTGTTTCTTTCTGGCTTTCTCTCAGAAAAGGGACTGATGAGCTGTTTTTACTCCGTCAAGGATGCTACGAAGAAATTTTTGTATATTGTCAGATTCCCTCTCTGTGACATGACGTGGAGAGACCGAGAGAGAGAGAGAAAAGGCGACCGCCTCGGCTTTTACTGGATTTAAAGGAGCTCGTTTTGTTTGTTTTTTGGCGGCGAATCGAACTGAAAGTTATATTTATCAGTATCAATAATGCGCTGAAATCTTTAATATCAAAGATACTACGACTACTCAGAGACTGACGCTCACCCACGCGTATATCAGCATCAAGGGGCGTTTAATTCGCATATTCCTGAAATCCAGGAAGCAACGAGACATATGCTGAATGTTTTTCCCCTTAAAATATTTAGTTGTTCATCACATCGAGCAGATGAGAAGGAGAAAAAATGCAGACTGTGACATCACGCTTGATTTTTGTTCCGGTTTTCATTGATATTACATGTAAAGATTTCCACACATACGCCAACCTGCATTTTGCCGCCTTCTATCGGGATCTTCTGCAATAGTCAGATTGGTGTTTTCCTTTGAGCTGGATTTGGTTTGCCGGGTTGGATCAGTTCCTCAAACTCAATGACTCCAGGCTGCTCTTTAATGTGCAATATCAGGCTCTTCCATAATCCGCTCGCAACGCTTCAGGTTTCAATCATCAGTAAATTAGCAAACAGCTTTCAAATGCGATGCTTTCGTCATTTTTTTTACAGTTCGTTTCCCATCAGTTCTGGCCACGTTCACACTGCAAGACCTTTTATTTGTTTGTATGAATGACCTTTTAAATTGAATACTTGAACAGGAAACACATATAGTGCTCAGCATAAATGAGTACACCACCTTTTAAAATATCATGGGCTCTATTTTAATGATCTAGGCGCAAAGTCTAAAGCACGTGGCGCAAAAGCATTAAAAGCGTGTCTGAATCAACTTTTGCTAATTTAGGGATGAAAAAATACACGCTGTGCCCTGGGCGCATTGTCTATCATAGCTGTGCTAATTCTCTTAATGAGTTATGGGTGTGTTTTGAGCATAACCTGCATTAAACCAATCAGAGTCTCATCTCACATTCCCTTTAAGAGTCAGTTGCGTCGCGCAATGGGGCATTTGCTATTTACATGGTGGACTTTGTAAAACTGAACACTTCACTAGCAAGAAAACAGTTAAGCAGCATCTGCCGAACGAGGATAAGGAACGAGCCTCCTCCATTCGGTCTCTTTACTTTCTCTTTACTTAACTTTTACTCTTTACTCCTTTACTTTAGTGGAGTAATGAAACGGTGTTGTACGCACTCCACTGAAGACATCCATTAGCCGACATATTTAATTTCCTTTGTTAAGCACAAAGTTTTGTTTCAAAAACTATTTCTAAATTCAGTTCTAATTTCCAGCAAACTAATAAATGAACAATAATAATGAAGTGAGTTAAATCCAAACACACGTCTTATTCTTATGCCCCATAAGGTGATGCAGACGTCTCCAAAACCTGACAGGTGGACAAAACTAAGCTTGTTTTTAATAAAACAAATATAAATATGCATAATAATAAATAATATTGCTAATATTAGTAACATTATACAAATGCTAACAGTCATGAAAAAACTGAAAAAAAAAACCCTCCTGAGGTGAAGAAAGGCATGGAGGCAGTGTTATTTATATTTATGTAGAAAATAATAATTTTCGTAATATTTTAATCCTTTAATTGTTTTCATCTGTAAGGATATTTGTGTGTTGCTGTACGTCCTGTGTGTATTAAGCAATGTGTAAGCGTTTGGACTTGCATAGGCGTATAACTAATGCGCTCTGCGCTGAACTTTAGACCTGGGGTCCATTTTTTGTATGTGGATTACACAGTTAGCAGGATTTGGTTATTGACGATTTGACATGATCCAGGATTGTTTCGTTCTTCAAAACTCATCCAAGAGCTGTTGTTATAGCAACAGTTCTGGTGGCTCATTTCATATAAACAAGATTAGATCGGGTCAGTTCAAGCTAAGATAATACTGAAAGTATGTACCGAATTCTGATATTTTCTTACAGTAGTAGTTATATACACTTGGGAAAATAAACAATAATCATAT